ATATTATACTTTTTACTTCTCTAAATTTAAGTCAGATATAGTTACTAGTTACATTTCAGTTTATAGTAGTTTTAATAGTTATATATAATTATATTTCAGTTTTTTACATAAAAAAGTGTTTGGTATTTTGCTCCATTTTTTGACACCTAACTGGGTCATTTACTTGACAACCTAAGAAGATAAATGAAACAGTAAAACTATCTGGCCAAACAAAAGCAGCAGGGATATTCTTTGATGGAAAGCACCATTTCAAAGTGAAATGTTGTTGTTTTTTAAATTAAAATTTTGCATGTTTGTTTGTTTTTTTTTAAAAAAACCCAATGCTTTTAATCAGATTTTTCACAACATTTTTAGCTTATGATCTGCTACAAAAAAGGAAAAGTCTTGTCAGGTTTCAAATGTTTATGAGCAGTTCTGCAAGAGAGTGATATCCCTCTCTATATGGCTGTAGAGTATACTGTATATAAAATGTAGACAAGCTAAATCATGCAAAAACTCTACTAAAGTGCATGAACAACAGAAATCAACCCAAACAACACATAATATAACAAAGTAAATGATATTGCTTAAAGGGAAACAATCATTTTACAATGAGAGTTAATTTATGTAGTTTAATACCAAAATGTTTATCTTTGAATCACATCTATGTAATGTGATTAAAATAACCATTACAGCGTCTGGATGCAGGATAATGAAAACCTGTTACAATAAATGTATAAACATTCATAAAACCCTTTATATGTCCTGTCACCTATGCAATTTAAAGACATTTACCCCCATAATACATGTCAAATCCACTAACATTCATTCCTATGAGTCTATTTGATTGCTCATACTTGATTAAAGATACAAAAATACTTTTTTTTTTTTTTTTTTTTAAGAAAATCAAAGTACTGTCTATCAGTGAAGTCAGTCCAACAAATCTGTAGAGACCCCGTGAGGCTGTGATGCTCATTACACTCCGAAAAACAACAGTTCTGGATGGATGAAATATGAAGAGAGAACTTTGCTATTCTTTGATCTAAAGGTCTTTAGGAAAGGTCAGTTCTTTTTCTATATCTGAAAGGTTTATCCTCTGCAATGGCCTTTTTAGCACATCTAAAGCCCATTTGGGAGGGATTTATGTCCCTAGGGGAAGAGGGAGGATTTTTATATCACCTGTACTGATCAGTGATTCTAATTCCACTCTGAGCTCGTATGTCTGTGATTGTTCAACCTACCCAGTAATTACAGGTGGCTACCTTTTCCTGTGAACTGACTCTCCTGTAATTTAAGTCCAGTCCACAGAGACACTTTACATTTTAAATGTGTATCTGAGTTTTATACAAAGAGCAGTTTATTGCTACTGAGTTTGAAGCACCAAAGGATTCTGTTAACCTTATAGGTTACTT